ATATCTCCCATGTAGCAGCAGATGGTGTCAGTACGGAGAAGGTAAACAATTTTGACATTTGCAGTCAAAATGGCTGTGGTACTGATGTGTCTAGAGTCATGGTGCTCCCTGTGTGCCTCCCTGCCTTGCTCTTCCATGACATGCTTTTCTGGGCAGGATCATTTCTGTGTTTGCTGTTGTATGTGTAGGACTGAGCTGGATTCAGCACATTGTGGGCTTGTGCTATTGCAAATGATAAATAAGAAGAATAAACTGATCTGGCAAAAAGTGTTCAGGTACAGACTGCAATCCCACATCTGGAAACTTCCCCTTGCAAAGGGCTGTGAAGGCTTTACAAAGAGCTGATCCAAGCCAGCAGAATCTGAAACTACTCTGCTTGCTGGAATTTATGCTCCAGTGTCAATCCCAGCCTACCAGACCCTGAATAGAAGAGGGAGGATCTTTCTACAGTCTTCCAGAATCAGGGAGGGAGAGCCAAGGGATGATATGGCCAGGGAGGATGCTCTGGTGTTGGGAACTGAATAATCCCTGTGCTGGCAGTGCCACTGCCCAGCCTCCCTGCATCCCTGAGACAGGAGGAAGCCAGGAGATGTGTCCTAAGGGAGAGAGGAGTATCTAGGGCACAAAAAAAGTCATGCATATCCCTAGGGAAGCTGTCAGAATGGCTCCCGGCAGGAGCTGGCTGCATGCCACCTGTGATATTGGACCTCAGAGCCTTGTGCTGGGAGCAGGCTGTGGGTGCAGGCAGAGTGGGCATCCATCTGCTGCAGCATGTGTGACAGCCAGTGAATCACAGTCCACCCGGGGACCCTGTGCTGCCACTGAAACCAAATAGCTGGGCAGTGTTGCATGTTGCAGCCAGGGCTCCAGAGAGACAGCTGGGAAATGGCTGTGTGTCAGCTCTCTTGACATTTTGCTGTCAAATGTCAAAGTGTGCCTGTTCAAGCCTTGTCCTCCCACAGCAGCATCTGCACCAATGTGGAGTGTGCGTTGCTCAGCAGGGCTTCTCAGCAGATCGGTGCTGGCGCTGGGAGCCAGCTCCAGGCGGCCATTTCCCAGACACAGCGGAGACCCAGTGCTTCAGCAGTGAAGTGTGCTGTCATCACGGTCTGTATCCTCAAAATTATGCTTTTCAAGTGGATGCATTGTGGCAACAGTCAAAATATAGCAAAGCTTTACAGGGAGACATGATCTAAGCATTACAATCAGCTGCAAAGGCAGTAACAAGGGCAGATAGGCACTGGTGGACCAGCTTTTTCCCCATAGTGGTGGAGCAGAGACAGGATATATAGGGGCGCCTGCTGCTACCTGTACCATCAGTGGTGCGCAAGTTCGAAAATGGGGCATGAACACTGCCCCAGCTGTTGAACACCACTTTCAGCATGTACGTGTGCTAGGCACAGAGCCAGGAGCTGCTGTTACCCACAGTGGTTCTTGAACAATGCGATCTTGGGAATCCCTGATATAAAAGGTCTTGTCCCAGGAACCGGGCAGAGGACAGACTCATTCCTTTCAGTGGCTGTGGGAAAGGAGCCGGAGGCTTGTAAGACAGAGGAGTCACTGAAAGGGGAGTGAAGGGGGATATAGGCATTAGGGAGACTATAGGTGGGGGGTAGTTTAGGGGTCCCACGATAGTCCAGCTGGATGTGGTCCAAGTGGTCCAGGTGTCGTCTACTTCAGAGCCTAAACCTGGGTGAAACACCCCAGCAGAAGCAGGCATGAGGGTGAGTGTGCCCCTCATGTAGGTCTCATGATGATCTCTGGCAGAGTCTACCAGAAGGCTTGTCTGTTTGCTAACACTGGTGTTAGCATTAACTTTTACATCATTGGGTGTTTACTGTAAACACTAGGTCCATTGCCATCTTTGTATTTTTTTCCTGCCAGCATCATCCTGTGTCTGTGAGAAGCACTACTATGCGTGGGAGGAAAGTACTTCTTTTGATCATTTTTTTTTAGCATCTTTTAATTGCTATTGTTACACCACGAAGCTGAAAGAACTGAAGTTCCCAATCTTTCTGTGGAGCTGTCTCATTGCTTACACTGTTGTTCTAACTTCACTTACCCCACATTTCTCTATTTCCCTCCTGGGCTCCCATGTGCCTTTGCAGCTCTGCTCCAAATCCGTTATCATCCCATAGTCACAAATACTAGGGTAAGGTAAGCAAAGACAGATATTGTGAATGCCACTTTCTGGAGTCTGAAGGTCAGTGGTGGCAGCAGACCCAGGGTCCTGGAGTCCGGAGCAGGATCACAGTATGTGGTGTCAGGGTGCTGTGAGCACTGAGGATGCCTGGATGAGACATAGGATGTGGATTGCTGACTAAGGGTCTTTGGGCCAGGGTTTTCAGAATAAGCGATGGATCTATGAGAGCACTAGATAATTTTTAATCCCTCAGGATCATCCTGGATCACTGTTATCTTTTGTGGTTTCTCCTTCTCCTTGCTGCCTTAGCTGCCCTCCCATGCACTTCTCTGCGCTGGCTTCTCTGCTGTTTGAAGGGAAGGCAAGAGGGAAAACCCCTCCAGACTGCCCTGGAGGTGACTGCGGGTCGGACCTCTGGGTTAGATGGGGAAGGCGGAATGAATATGTTCTCTGCTCTTCCATATCAAATGCTGGTGAACATCTTCCTCTGGACTTATGACAACCTGCTGTTTACTGAACACTGAGGGAGTGGGGCTCTTCGTGCACTGCCTGTACGGCTACTGGGACTGTGGGCTGTGGCAGTCGTACTGTTGTGAAGTGCAGCAGGTAATAAGATAAGCAGAGAAGTGCCACAGACAATGTGACAGTGTTAGAGAACTGTGAACCGGGCACCCCGGACCACAGGAGGAATCAGTTTGAGCTCAGGCTTAACTGTCAGTAAAAGGTCAGCAGAAGGCAATGTACTGTATGGGACGTATTTAACCATCACCAGTGGCTCCCCATGGCCTCACTGAAGTCATCTTCTCCTTTTCACATGAGAGGCCCTTATGTGCATAAGTAGTTCCGTACGTTGGCGTGCTCCCCTGGCACCATTAAAAGAGCTCAGGACCTCATGGGGCTTCCTGGATTTTGGAGAAGAACGGTTGTTGCTGCTTTCCTGTTCCAGTCTGTTCCTGCCTTCCAGTCTCACCCTGGGCTTGCGTCTCTTTAACATTGCAAGGTCTGGCAGTGCCGTTCAGTGTTTGGTTCTTACAGAAAAGTTCAAGATACCTAAAGTCAGGCAAAGGTATTGAATCCAGTGCAAGAAGATGGATTGCTCTCATCAGAGTGCAGCACTTCATTTCAGACCCTGTGCTGTCCGCATGTCTTTCTGTGAGCGCACAGTACCATCCACAGTGAGGTCTTCATTTGGCCCAAGGCCTGCGCAGCCCTTTGGCTACTTGAGTGAAATCAGTAGCTGACTTCAGATAAGTTTGAGAAGGGTCAGTTGGAAGCACAAGTGTTGTCTCAGGAGTCCGCAGGGAGGGGGACATGTTTGTCTTACATTGTGATGCTTTCCCTGAAGAAGGACTGCTCAGGACCTCGTGCTTGGGCACTTGTGCTGACAAGGACCAGTGTGTTTGGTCCTTGTCAGCACATGAAGTCTTCAGTCAAACCAAGGGTGCTTTAAATAGTCACTGCCTTTCCTGAGAGGTGACTTCTTTTGTGTTTTTGTCTCTCTCTAGGTATCTGAATTCCCCCATGAGAAGTGTCCTCCTTGCCTCTCATGTGCAGCCCTACCTGTCCATGGGTAGCACCAGCTTAACTGATGTCCTGAAGAGCATTCCTCACCATGGATAGTCCACCCAAACTGACTGGTGAGACGCTGATTGTCCATCACATTCCCCTGGTGCATTGCCAGGTCCCTGATAGACAGTGCTGCTCCGTGAGCAAAAGGACCAACCCCTTCTGCCAGCCAGAGCTCAGCATTACACGGACCTCTGCCCTTCCAGACAGAGATCTTTCACAGACTGACTCCTTGGTGTACAGCAGCTTTCTCCAGACCTCCGAAACCTCAGCAGAGGCCTCAGACAACAAAGAAGGCAAAGCGAGGGATTTGATTGTCCCTAGCGTCAGTAAGCGACACAACCCTTTCCTGCT